CTCTCTATAAACCTGGTGTCGCTTCCGAGATGGTGGAGAAGTGTGACGACCCTAGTTTTTCCCTTCTTCTTTCTTTTTTCTTTCCCTTTTCTTCTTTTTTCCTTATTTCCCTCTCTGTATAGGTGGTTTAGGGTTTTGTTTGTATAAATGAAAATGAGTTCCATATAGTGCTACTTAGTGCTCCACTAAATTCAAATTGTAACAAAGTCCCTCATTTTATATTTTATATAACATTTAATAATTAACTTCTCATAATTTGAAGCTTGAAAGACGTAATTATGTACCTATATCCGAAATTTGGATTCTTTTTAGCAATTTTTCCACATCTTGCATTTAAAAAAATAAAAGATCCGACATTTAGATAAGAACCCGTACTTGATACTCGTACCCGAGTCCGAGCATCATCAATCTGTACAGCATTTGTCCTTGTAGGTCCCAATTTCGTTTGTGAGATCTTCTGAATTAACAGCGCATCTATTTGATGTAGAATGAATTATTTTTTTCTGTTCCAGTGTTCTTTCAAACACGCAGTCACACTTCACGTGCATTTATACCATGTAGGAGATTCATTATTTGATTGTCCATCTTCAGTAATCTTGTTGCTAATCCGTGCCTGCAACCTTCTCTATCAGGTTAACAAGCATATGAAAGCTCCAATATACATATACTACCAGCTTGATAACTATTACCAGAACCACCGTCGGTAAGCAATACTTGTTTTTCTTTCTAGTGCAGTTCGGATTCATTCTTCTAATTTATTTCATTTAAATGTAGCTTTTTTTTCCCCCCTTTTTTCCCCCTTTTTTTTAACTAGATATGTGGTCCTTCCTTTATGTTTTGTCTATGTTTATTTATTCAACTTCACCTTTCCAATGAAGGTATGTTAAGAGCAGAAGCGACAAGCAACTCTTGTATGGACTGAAGTACGACTATACGGGTTCCTGTAGTCCTGAAGATGCTAATAATGGTCTCCCAATTGTCCCTTGTGGTTTGATTGCATGGAGTTTGTTTAACGACACATACTCTTTCTTCCGTGGGGCAGATGCATTAAAGGTCAACAGGAAGAACATTGCCTGGGAAAGTGATCGCAATCATAACTTTGGGAAGCATGTTTATCCCTTCAATTTCCAAAATGGAAGTCTAATTGGTGGTGCACATCTTGATCCAGCCATTCCAGTAAGTGTTTACATTGTACGGCTTGTTTGTCATTTTCAACTCCTTGCCAAATTACTGAACTTTTTTATTTTTTTTCTTTTGTTTAGAGTTTCTTTCAGTAGTCTTTTATTTGCTAGTAGCTTAGAGCCATTCTCATTTTCTTTTCAAATTTACTATTAGCCTAATTTTTATTTTGTATCTTATTACTCTTTGTTTGATTTCACCAACTAGCTAAGTGATCAAGAAGATCTTATCGTGTGGATGCGGACTGCTGCTCTCCCCAGCTTCCGTAAGTTGTATGGACGAATTGAAGAGGATTTACATGCTGATGAGATACTTGAAGTGAAGATTTTGAACAACTACAACACCTACAGTTTTGGCGGGAGGAAAAAGCTAGTTCTATCAACATCAAGTTGGTTGGGAGGCCATAATAATTTCATTGGAATTGCCTATATTTCCATTGGATCTTCCTTTATATTTATTGCTCTCGTCTTCATGTTGCTTCATGTAAAAAATCCAAGGTAAAGCTTCTTATATGCCATTATAACTTGAGTTCCACTCAAAATTCATAAATGCTATCTAAATATTATTAGTTCCATCCGAAATCTTGGATGGGAGCCAGAAGACTTCGAAGTTATCAAAATTGTGCGTAAACAGGTTGTGAAAATCTAAAAATTGCATTAATACTCTCATCTTCGGTCTTCCACCAGTTTCAAGATATGTTTTCGATGCGTAATTTTGATAGTTATCGTTTATGTTTGCCGTTTGCAGGCCATATGGGGATACAACTAATATATCCTGGACTTGGAAAGGCATTTCTAGCTGAAGGTGAATCTGCTTTTAAGCTTCTCAATTTTCAGTATGTGCACATTATGACAAGTTTTGGAAAATTGCTAAAAAGGGATATCCTCACATCAATCATTGAGATGGCAACTGCTACGACCTATTTATCGTTAACTTCAAAAGTACGGTGTAGGAAGTTAACTGTTGTGACTGCAGAATTTGCATATATTGGATAAATCTTTGAACTTCTATAAATGTGTTGCTAATTTGAAGTCATCCTATTTCAGTTCACTCGTCGAGACCACCTCTTTGGATGATAGGGATGTCCAATGTTTTTTCATGGGTTTATGTGCTGTTAGCTTTAAGACGACGTCAAATATTGAGGGTTTTTCTCGTTCTTTATGTTCATTTCTTTCTTTCCTTTTGCTTTTCCTGTTCACTTTATTTTTGGAGTTGACAGCAGTTGGTTGAGATAGTAGTAAAGACCATGACTTCACCGGCTTCAAACTCCTAGTTGAAGTTTAATTTCTAATTGAAATGAAAGGTTTACATGCAACACTTGTAAATGTTACAAAACACAAACTTCTTGTGAATTTGGTAATACAAGTAAAAATACATTTTAGTTTAATGAACTATGCTTTGATATATGAAGGTTTCTCGAAACAACACAAAATTTGTATAATATAACACCAATTTTACCCAAAAAAAATAATAAAAAATGTTAAATTTTGGTGAATCTCATAGAGTTGGAAAGTCCTATTAGCTTATATCATCTGAAAAAAAAAAAAAAAAAGGGTTTAGCATTTTGGTACACATGTTTTGAGTTAATAAGATTTTGAGATCACTAATCTCACAAAAGCTGCAGATTTTGATTATTTTCTTATATTGTTGGGAAGTCTCATTAGTTTACTTTGAGATGAAAAAATTTATTTTACATTCTTGATCACAAAACATCAATATCTCCGTAGTTTATACATCATATGTTTATAAAAATGAGTTGCATTGAGATATAAAAGCTGGTAAACTTTTCATGATTCCATATACGGGTGACATTAAGACATGAAAATACTGCAGTAAGTTGTCCAGGCACCATTTCTTCTTCATCGACACTCGATGATTACAGTGGCTCGTGATCTGCCATTTGTTCATAAATTGTTTCAAGTGACTCTGGAGCATGGCGCCGATGAAAATGGAGCCCAGCTGGACAATTGTACAACAGATGCTGAGATTTGGTTCCAAGGCATCATCATTCCATGAAAAAGACACTTCTTTCAAGCAGAACATTCCTTTGTTTTCATCACATTAGAAAGTTTTGTTCTAACCTTGTATTTTCTATGCTTCTCTGAATCGATACTCTCTTTCAATTTCTGCAAAGCTGGCTCAAAAAAAAACGATGTAGGAATCAGAAAATAAGAGAAAATGCATCACGTGATTAGTATCATATTCCTCCTTTTGCATGGACAAGTAATATACTTACGGTAAACAGGTGAGAAATCAAATTTCAAAATAAAATGATTACCTGAAGCATACATAGAACGAAGTGAGACTATCGATTCAGAGGGGATAGAATAAACAGGACAGGAGTTACTATCAGCCTTCTGCAAAAGCTTTTTGAATCGCTTAACCTGGGAGGAGCTAGCTCGTGAATTACAAGTGTTGAAGAACATTAGATAAGAAAAAATTATCAAGCTCTGACTTACATTTATTTGATCTATGTTAATCAGAGAAACATGCAAATAATATTCAATATTGCTTCAGAATGCACAGTGACAAAACATGTTAATAAAGGGAAATATAAAGACGAAAGATAGGAAGAGTGGGAAAGAAGAAGCAACTAAAGAGCCAGGACACAAGCATGAAACAAAAAGGAAAAACAATTACCTCATCTTTGAGCAACGATGCGAGGCAACGCCCAGCTTGCCCAGCTCTAGCAGTTCGACCAGCCCGGTGAATATATGTTTTGATATATGCAGGCATATCATAAATAATTACATTTTTCACCCCTAAAACGTCCATGCCACGAGTCATCGCATCAGAGGAAACCAGCACTTGTATTTCCCTGGAGCGAAATGCCCTCAATGTCTTGCTGCAAGACAGATTTCTTCGCACATTAGAAAGCAATCACGCACGATTTTGTAACCAATGACCATGAATTGATCGAGTACTGGACATTGCGATCATCAATCAGAAATCTCATCGCAACTGACCAGATTTTAGTGACTAGATTTCTTAGCATAACCTTCCAACTAGAACACCTGAAAATGTTTATTGCACATTAATATGAATCGCTTAAGTGCACAAGTTCACAGAGCTTGACAATAAATTCCCGTTCTTATCTTCCATAACGAACAACGGAAAAGGCTAGTGTGGCACAGTAAAATACTTACAGTAACAAATATCCCATTCATTAACTTTCTATCTAATAAAACAGACAAGAAAAATTATATCTAACTAAGTATGCAACTTCATTCGCACATAGAACTGAGAATTTTTGACATGCAATATATACCGTCTTCAAATAATAAAATCAGAGCTTGCTTTCATTAAATAAAAAGATGAAAGAGATACATGAATATCTATTTTGAATAATTATTTAATGCGATTAGAAAAAATCAGAGAGTCACTTTCCAGTAAGATATATAGAAGCATTCCCTTGAGCTTAATTCCTGTTTCCTTCCAAAAAGAACTCTCTAGTTTCACTTCTATTCAAACTTGATGCCATAGTACGATGGCCTCAAATACAAATGGGGGGCCAACTGATTCAGATTGAACCAACATCGCTGCCACAAGGATAGGTCGATTCAGTCTCTTTGATATATTCACGTAAAGGTTATGAAACTTGTCCCACCTATTGCCAGTTTCTAGTCAATTCCTTCCTGGACTTGACAGCCATGAAGCTATAAGCAAGTAGCTTGTGCAATGTGCATCCCCACATCAGTGTTATTTCCTTTTACCCCTATCATAGCAGCACTTCCATGTGGGGTAGTATTATTTGATTTGGAGCATCTGATTGTAGTTATACTTACCACCATAAGCAAATATGAGATATGTATGCATGTGGAGAAAGAGATTTGACACAAACCAAATTTAACTCATGCCCACCCACCTTTATCCCAGCCCTTCCCTCTCGAGTTCCATCCATGGAAGGCATCCAGAATAAACAGAAAAACATTTTATTTAAATAAATAAAGCAAGTGGGTTTAAACTACCTTCTTATGGTCTGACATTGAAGACGTGAGTACTCTTTGATCTTGATTTGCTGATCACCAAAGAAATTCAGTAAGGTGCACAGCTTATGAGTTGACTCCACAGATGACGTGAAAACTATACACTTCTCCCCTTGCAAAGATTCCAATAGGGCAAGTAGATAAAGTGGTTTAAGCTTTGATTCACATATCTGCACTCAATGGGAGTTAATCAACATAATCATTAAGACAAATGCTACTACTTGACCAGTAAGAATTACAGCCACTGAATATGATTTTAAAAGCAGCATACTCGACACAAAAGACATGGAACAAGTACCGAAAATTTATGAATCGATAAATTTTCGGGTCTCTTAAGTTACCTCTGGAAATTCAGAATATACAGCATTTCATATAACATATAAGACATCCCACGAGATATTTTCAACTTAAAAATAAAACAAAACAGAATTTCTTTTTCTTTCTAAGAAAAACAAAAACAAAACGATAGAAAGTTGGGAGGAAATAAAAAGAGCACATGTTTTCAGCATATTCTAAAACCACAACCCTAAACCCTATTGTTAGGAAAATGTTGTAATTGGCAATCTGTGACCAAAAGGACTAATTTGTTGAGTTTGTAAAGTCAAGGACCAATTTGTCAGTGTCTAAAAGTTCAGGGACTTGTGTTGCAATTTCGCAATAATTAATGTATAGGTCTAGGGTAAAGTTGGATGCTTTGAAGATGAAAACAGCGCAAGATTGGTGCTAGAGTTTCGCCCTGACCTCGCTCGAGCCTAAATAACAGAACCTGCGTCGCTGGAGTTTCGCCTCCACTTCGCTCGAACGAGAGTGTGTCCCTAGAGTTTCGTCGGCACTTCGCTCGAGCGACAGTGTCATCCAGCGTTTGATAATTTTCCTTCCTCGTGAATTTTAAACGCTCCATACTACCAAAAACGACCTACTATATAAACAAAAATTTCGCTTTTCATTAACAACCTTTGGCAAAACACATAGCACAATATTTTCCTCTCTGCCAAAGGATCAATTGCAAAACTCTTCACCATATGATTCATTGAAGAAAAAAAACATCAAACACATTTTCAAATAAAACACCTATAAAAAATCCTCACTACTTTCAGAAGATCAGTTGATTGAAGATCCGAGAAGGAGGTTGATTGAAAAACTGGAGTTCTTGTTGATTTACGGGAAATAGAAGAAATACAACGCTGGGATTTTGGCGCAGATCTGCAAAATCCAGGAGAACTTTGGTTGATACAGTAAGGAGGTCAGAGTGTTGTTAGATACAGTCATGTCTAGCGTACTGTAAGTTGGAGTCTTCTATAGTGAATCCTTACTGGCTTGTGCCCGGAGTTTTTACCCAATTGGGTTTTCCCCGTCAACAATTTTTGTGTTATTTATTACTTTCTGTCAATTTCAATTCAACCGGCAATTCAACATAGGTAGTTAAATCATGTAAATGAATCTGGATAACGTTTAATTTATGTGACTTGTTGCATAACTTAATTAAATTGTTAAATTCCGCATAGACACCTATTCACCCCTCCTCTAGGTGTTGGTTGGGTCGAACTATAGCCTTTTCAAGTGGTATCAGAGCCAAATCTCGAGTCCTGACCTATACAATCACTTTCTGTACCTCCATACTTTGACGGAAGTAATTATGTTTACTGGAAGGTTAGAATGTGTGCGTTTCTTAAGTCCTTAGATGAGTATGTTTGGTTGAGTGTGCAAAATGGCTGGAAACCTCCCTCCACTATCGTATCAGGAACTGTTAACCTTACCGATATATCACTGTGGACTAAGGATGAGATAGTTGAGTGTAATTGGAATAGCAAGGGACTTCATGCCTTGTTTATGGCCGTGTCTCCCGAAGAGTTTAGGAGAATGTCAATGTGCAAAACTGCTAAAGAGGTGTGGGATATTCTTGGAACTACACATGAGGGAACTAAAATGGTAAAGAACTCGAAATTACAAATGCTAGCTTCTAGGTTTGAAGAAGTGAGGATGAAAGATGACGAAACCTTTGATGAATTTTATACAAAATTGAATGATATTGTTAATTCTAGTTTCAATTTAGGCGAGAAAATTCCCGAGTCTAAAATTGTTAGAAAAGTACTTAGGTCCTTGCCCGAGAGATTTAGACCTAAAGTTACTGCCATTGAGGAAAGTAAGGATCTAGATGAAGTTAAATTTGAAGAACTTGTAGGATCCTTGCAAACTTAT